CGGAGGAGGTCTGGGACCGCTTCCAAACGGGGGTGAAACTCCCTCCTGGCGCAGGTTGACGAAGAGCAGAGGTGACAAGCGTCCCTGTGGAGGGGGATGCTGATGGCGAGAGTGAGTGGGAGTGTGTTTGTGTGTGTTATGAAGGAGTTCACGCGTGCTTGGCAACTTGAGGATCTCCAACATGGTTTTGGCTATGGAATCGATTAAAAACTTTTTAAACCTGCCCCGCCGTTCTTTTGACCTGGAAAGTGAAAGAATGTACTTAAGCTGCCTGGGCAGGGAAGGGGCTGCCTGCTGCACCATGCCCTATTGGACTGCATCCCTGCTGCTGGAGAACAGGCTCTCCTGGAGCCAGAGTCAATCCTCGGGAACCAGGAGCCATAGGAAGCAGTTGAAGAAATAACACTAGCAGAGCCTTTCACCGAGGGACAGCAGGAGCCTCCAGAAGGATGCGCTTCCAGGTGCAGGCCTGGCCTGCGGAAGGTGAGTGACCTCAAGCTTTTCTGAATGGTTATTCAAGGTCAGTCATTAGGAAGCAGGATTTGCTGCTCATTTTGTGTTTGTTCAAGCATTTGGAAAATTCTTTTGTGCTAAACTGATAATAGCTGTATGTCACAGGAGTGCTATGGCTAAAAAAAAAAATAAAAGCGCACAGCAATAGAAAACCTACTCCAACCCCAATTCCTTTCCTTTTTATTTCACAGGTGCGTTACAGATGAAGGGCTGACTGTCAGGAAACAAGTGAAGAGTTTTCTGTAATGCTTCATCTCATGGCTGGAAAAGAAGCCACTGTAATCTGGAGGTATCTGGAACCAGCTAAAATAACATTAAGGGAATATTTGCGAAATGGAATATTGGGACCAGCATGTGCTTGTAATATAAAATGTGATCAGTTTACTGTAAAATATTGTCTCTTACCATTTTTCTGAGCCTAAATTCAGCAGCATTTGATTATTAAACGAGAAGCTTGCAGGAACTTTTGTAAAAGTGCTTTAATTCTGTTCAAAGTAATGGAAGAACATTAGCTTCCTCAAAAATCTATCATATTTAGGCTCATAACTACTTGGGTAGATCTTAAAGGATCTTATACCTTTCCTTATACTCCCCCTGATATGCATAAAAATACTGCTGAGCTTCACAGTTCTGGCTACCATATGAGAGACTGTATGGGCAGGTAAACATTGGCATGTGATGGTTAGTGACCTTAAGTTGATCAGAAAAGGGCAAGTCTCAGATTGAAATGAATGATATAGCCTTGACTAGATCTTTTACATCTCATTGCCCTTGTCCAGATCAGGATTATATACTTAAGATTACATGAATTAGTATGCAATCTGTGAATAAGTTTTTTTTCAAAATGTAAACGGGTATGGTTCTACTAGTATGTCTTTTTTTCTAGTATGGATAAGGTTTGTGGGAGTATTTCTTGCATAAGATATAAAAAGCAGGTTTGTTCGAACCCTCAAGATAAAAAAGACTTCAAATTTTCCCACTTTGCAAAGAAACAATACTAAATACTGAAAGGAATAAGAATCTTACTCTTAGGAATCACACTTTTTTTTGGTAATAATCTACGTAGAGTTGTGTTTTTCTTTACATAAATGAACTCTGTTTTCCCAAAGCAATGCATGAAAACTTCCAGGTTAGAAAAGCTCAGATTTTAGCTGTGGATTTTATTTTTCTAAAGACTTTTAAATTAGTGACTCCTGTCAAAAATTAAATGAGAAGTTTTATAGGTGGGCATAAGAAACAGGTATTTGGGGCAAACCAGAATACGTGGGATGAGGCACCAAAAAGATGGAAACTGATAGTATGATTGAAAGCATGGTTATTGAATTGGATGTTCTAGGACAGAAGTGAGCTTTTGCTTTTTGTTTTCTTTTTTAGGTCAACAGTGATGGAAGACATTCATCCCTATCGTTAAATATGGCTTAAATCAGGAAGAAATACAGTTTATTTTCTTTATACTTTGTTTTTATGGTGTACCCTGATGTAGTGTGTGTCTGGACAGAATAAGATGATGTTCATTTTATTACAGTTCTGAAGGTCTAATTTTATATCACACAATGTAGGTCTTAGCTCTTCATCAGAGTCCAGAGTGGGCAGGAGTCTAGGACTGAGTCCTTTCCTGTGAATTACAAGATTATGTTTCTTTCTTCCAAAAACACATGGATTTAGAGTATTGGATCACATAAGTATCCAGAGAAACGCCTCCACTGCTCCTACTCTTGCATTCTTAAATTACAGTGCTTAAAATATATGGGTTGTATCTCAGTTACTTTATACATATAGGTAGATAGATATCTCTTTGGAGGTTTCTGCTATGATGCAGTATCTTGGATAAACTAACAAAAACAACCACCTTCTTCCATTGTAATAGCAATATCACATATGAAATTTGGGAGAATAGTTCTTTGCCAGCTTACACACTAATCACTCCATATCACCTAGTGTTCAGACCTGATTAAAACATTTTCCTGTTCGCAATGGACTACTTGTAGTTTTATGGGTTGGATAACTGATGATACATTAACTAACTGGGAAGAACAAAATCCATTGCAGAGTTGATATCATTAAGTCTTAATTTTGGTAGTCAGTGCTTCTTATTTTGAAACTGCACCTAGTGTTCCTGATGTTAGTCTCAGTTATAGAATTATAGCTTATAGAAAACTGTATCTACCTACCTACATGGAAAACTAAAATGAAATTGCTGCTTTCTAATTAACAACATCACGTACTTCAAAGTGTGTGTGTTTACCTCTGTGCTGATCCATCTGAAGTACAAACTGCTAAAACCCCTAGCTAGTACGTTAGCTCTTGTGTTCACACAGCAGCAGCTTGCTCCCTTCCCTCAGAAGCCTTCCTCTCATGGTGGACAAGGATCGTGACAGTTCTTAGGTTGTCAGTACATAAAAATTCCATGGCTGAGCAACAATGTATTTCTGTGTTTTCGTAGTCAGAGAAAACAGCAAGATTTCTTTTTTTTCCCCATCTTCTGTGCTGATGTAAAATGTTAGTCTGACATATGACTATAATTAGCAAGTAACTGGTAGTGAGGGAAATACAGAAGTCCAAGTGGTAAAGAGTTCATTAGCTAGACAGGTCTAATTATTATCTTCGTGTGCATAGCTTGCCGAGGAATTCAGTCAAGTACAGTGCGCTAGAAATGACAGGTACTAAAACTTCCTCTGGTGTCTCACTTTCAGAGGCTGGAAAAATATTGCATGGTTCATGGCACAAGCAGTACTGTGAGAGCAGAGGTTACCAGGGATGCTCACTGCAGTGACTCCGCCAAGGATATTCAGCCTTCCAGCTGCTGTTGTATTCTGATTGTCTTGCTAGTTGAAAGTGTAGAGCTTCCAGATATAAGCATGGTGTTTCTGCTTGGTTTTTCAGACTTTTGTTTTTAAGGCAAATGTATAAGACTAAACAGGAAAGGATGTGAGTAGGTTAGACTGTAAGTCCTTAAAGAAACTTCTTTTTTTTTTTCTTAGGATGCTTGAGAATCACATTAAATCACTTTACAGTGTCTTGCTAGATAGACAGCACTTACTACTTCATTTTTCCTTTCTCAAGATAACATTTACTGCTTTCTTTTTTCTTACTCCGGACTATATAGACATATTTAGCATATTTGTCACATCTCTGTGCTGACAAATAGCAGCAAAGATTTTTCAGGAAGATGTGACTAGGTAGTTTAATGTCATTTCAATATAGCATTAATGAGGATTACATATACTTGGACAATGCATGTCGTTTTATGCTTATTAATGTATTTGATTTATGCAGCCAGAATGAACAGATACAGCCAGAGGTGCACAGGCAAGTGTAACTGTTCTGCTTTTCATTTCTAAAGTCAGTGAGATTAGCAGGAGCTATGATCTTTTCCATCTGCTGAAGAGGAGCAACGTATGCTCCGAATACTTTCAAATACAAGCAGCTTATGTTGGGGTCAGTAAACACCCCAGAGTGAGAGTGGAAAGTGTGGGCATGGAAGGAGGTGACAGACAGATCACTGATCCCTGAAACATACTCTCCTTGGGATATAATGCTGTGGTGTATACACCAATACATTGCCTAGCTTCTGTCAGCTCTCATCTTAATATTGTGAAAAGTAATACTCTGAGAGCATATAGAATCATAAAAGTATTCAGAGTGTTTCTAGGAAGGGCCTAGTAATAGGGCAAGATGTGCTCTTAGGAAGTTCAGAATAAACATCCAGTTGTGGGTTGAACTTATGATGCTGAATTGATGATGATCTAAGCCAAAACCCTAATTTGCTGTGCTATCAGACCAGCTGAATGTGCTCTTCTGTGTAGTAGAAGGATGGTAGTAAGTATCCAAGATAATGACTTAATGATAAGTTTTTGAAAGAAAAAGCATCAATTTGCCAAGCAAAATCGTATACTGATGTAAATCTGTGTCTGCGTACCTAAATTGCACACGTGCAAGCAGAGTGAAAGCTTAATGATGATAATCTGAGGAGCAACTTTCAAGAAAAAAAAAAGCAGAGTTCTACATGAAAAATGCATGTGCTTCAACTGAAGAAATAACGTGTCTCACTGGGTGAATCTGACAGTCCTTTACACAATGATCATGATGTAAACTCCATTGCGATGGATTGATGTGAATGTTTTAGATGTCACTACACTACTGGAGCAAGGTCCTTGAGTACTCCTTTTTTTTGTTTGGTTGTTTTTTTTTTTGTTTTTACACTGGTTTCCGTAGGATTTATTGCAGAGGCTAAGGGAAATGCTGCTGTTCAGAGTTTCCCAAGTGATTCATAGTTGTCCCATGGCTGGAGATTGCTGTGGGAGCATCAGAGTCATTTAATTTCTCCCTTGCAGACTGCCGCCCTCTCCTGTGTTCCACCAGTCCTCAAAGGTCTTCCCCTTGCCCTTCTGTCTCTGCAGCAAACTTAGATGTGAATTGCTCTGCCCCCTGTGATATTCCTTGGATATTATTTTAATGGTTTTTTTAATATTGTTTTGGTGTTGTTTGCTCATGTTTTTTTACCCTTTCTATGTTTTTTCTGCTGTTTCTTTCCCATAAATAATTTGCAAGTGTGTTCTTCCTTGTCATAACTATACATTTGTAAGCTTGAAAGATGTCTTTACAGAGGTACTAGAGCATAAGATGAGATGCTGTACCTAATTTTGAATTCAACCATTGCTTTAAACTTGGAAACTGTAGAGATTAAAAAAACCCACCACACCATTAAGATTTTCAGGTCATGGGTTTTTCTTTTTTTTCTTTAGCTTCCACTGCTGTCACATGCTTTACAAGAGGACTTGACCTTAGAAAGGAGACAGAAGATGTTCTTTGCCCAGCAAACTGTCCTCTATGGCAATTTTATGTGTTTGGGGATGGAGTTTATGCCTCTCTTTCCAGTATCTGCGGAGCTGCCATACACAGGTAAGTCAGATGATTGTTAATCAATTTGTTAAGCAAGCTTATATAGTCTTGCCACACTTAAAATTTAACCTCTTGATGCCATCATAACAAAGATCCTTCTGGGCCTCGGGAGACATGCTAACTCAACGGAAGTGTCATTAGGAGAAGAGAGAACAAGGAAGAAGAGAATGGCTGGGTGTCTTGCAAGTTTTCTGAGTTGTGTTGGTGTTCCTGAAAACCAATTTATTAACTTTCTTTGATATGAAACAGCAGGAGACAGACTTTCACTGTAGGATTACTTGTGTCACGGGTAGACATGGAAGGATACATTGTTAGTAGTAACTAATTGGAGAATAAAAGCAGATTCACTTTTTGACTTTCTTTTCCATTATGTTTTTTCTGAAATTGTTGAAATCAGTCTAAGCTCTTATGCAAACAGACCTACCCATGATTTGGTTGAATGTGGTCCGTAAGCAACTACTTTTAATCAGTGTTACGGTGGGTTTTTTGTTATAGCATTTCTCTTCTGACAGTTGCTTGCTGCATGTTTAATCTACTTAATGATCTCTTAATTAGACCAGTATCTAGCTGAATTCACTCTGGTATCAAGTTGAAAGCTAAAGACTAAGAAAAATATCAAGATGACATCTATTTAATGTGAGTTATTTGAAAAGCAATAATAATTGTATAGGTGAAGGAAAACAGGCTGGCAGAAATCATGAGGTTACACGATTTCTTTTTTTGAGAAAGGACAAAGATTTAATTACTTATTTCAAAGATAAATTCTCTCTTGGATTAATTTTTAATAAGGAAATGTTGGATGAAACCACCTGGAGACAGTGAGATATTTATTTCAGATGCCAGTGGAAGTCAGACTGATTCCTGACTGTCAGTCTACAGGGAGTTTCAGACTTTGATTTTAATACGTTGAGAAAGCTTTTGGTTATTAAAGAAGGAATTTTTTAGCTTCATTTATTAACTGACTGTACAACATGGTACTTGTTCACTTAGACCTTTTCACAATATGCTTTCTACCACAAAGTAGATTTGAAACTTTGTAAGGTGTTATGGCTGACATTTCAGCAACAGAAACTTGGATTAGACATGGAGAAAAGCCTAACAATAAGGACAGAGACTAGATGGCCTGGGATGCCATAGGAGCTACAATAGATAGTGCAGTTTCCAAAACCAGATAGATGTCCATCTGTCTAGAATAACCAGATAACTGTAACAGATCCTATCTTGATGCAAAAGTACAGACTAAATCATCCTGCTCAAATTTTTCCTATTTAACTTCTGAGAATTCTATAATTAAATATCATTAATACATTTAAAAGTAAGACTTCATCATGCATATAATCTAAGTTACTTGGGTTTCAAGAGATACTCTTAACACAAATTGTTGTATTGAGTTACCATACTGTATTAGAGATCTTATTTTAATGTCCTAATCCTATGAATGAGATTTCATTAGCATTTGTGATTACCGCGTAAGTTATCCGGAATCCCTTCAAGCATCACTGAACTTCTTAAAACTAGTTTTATTTAGCTTCATGTTAACATATACATAAACTACAGTTAAAATGAACAAACAAAACGAGAAAATCACACCATCTTATTATATTTGTGTATTACAGATAAGACTACTGCTGCCCTTGTAGAAAGGCTGAAGTTATTCTTAAAAACTTAAGTGAAACAAAGTGTTTAAAAGAAATGGAGGAATAGTTTCAATATTTTCTTATTCCCAAGCAACAGAAAGAAAGTCTTTCAGAATATATTGAGGTGATGCTGACCTCTGCTATCAGTGTATTTTTTATTTAAAAAAAACCCCTAAAATTTTACAAAAAAATTAATGACTAGAAGATAAAAAAGGAAAATACTTTTTTTGAGTTAACATTAATTGCTTGATACTTTAAGTGCCATAAGATACATACTAAGCATTTTAAATAATATTTAGGGGGCCATCATTTCTATCCAGAAACTTATTTAAAATGTCAATTAAAATCCCATATCTTTTAACAAGACTTGCAAAATTTAGGACATTTTTATAGTATTTAAACTCCAAAGTAAAGTAGAACTGTTTTTTTTATTGGATTTAAGGAGAAGATTTGAGTAGAAATTCTGTCTGAAATGTCTCAAATGATGTAAAGGAGACTAAGACCTAAGGTATACTATAGGGGCAGCTAGAAGGAACTTGAGAGATTTTGAGTCTGTGCATTTATTTTTTAAAGCTTAAGAGTTAGTTTCAAAGATAATTACATGTCTCCATGTATGTTTTATTGCTAGAACTTGCTTCCTTTCAATCCTTCTGTAAAAAGAATGAATGGCTTCATTCAATGTGCTTTTACTGCCTTCATAAGTATTTTTTTTTAAAAGTTAAATTTCAGTTCTTTCCTTCATCTTTTCTAACACAATGTTTGCATTTATTTTTAACTCTTCTGTTTCTTTACTGGTTGCCAAAGATCTCTTTAAGTGAAGAGGAAAAAGCTTGTGCTATCAAAATCTTTTTCCAAAGGCACTGAAGACTTGAGTGTTTTGAAAGTTCCTAACCAGTTCAACTAGCCAGTGATCTTAAACCTCCCATGCCAGTGGTGACTGCTTGATGGTTAGAGAAGTCCCACCAAGAAAGCTGGTGGGGCTCTGTTCCCCTGCAGCCGGGAGCTGGTGCTGCACCAGCTGCAGGAAAACAGTAGGCCCCATGCAGCTAGGCTGCAAGAGCTGTTTTACTTGAGATTTGTACCTCAGCATAATCTCTTATTAATGTCAAAAATCAGGAGTTAGTAGAATATCAAAATACTGAAAATGCTGGAAAATGTTCACATGATCTAGAATTTTTAATATGATTTTTAGATCAGAAAATTTTTAGAGCAGATAAATCAACATATTTACAAAAGAAGGAGGTGCAAGAAATGGAAGAAGCAGGTTTCTTTAGATTTGTGTAGTCTTCCCCTAAGATAATAAAGTGTAGACCTTTGTATACCACTTAAGTCTTCTCTAAAGTCTGTACCTTATAAACTATGTATATTATTGTTCTCTATCCCAGAAGCATAGGAGCATGGAAAAATACGGTTTTCCATAGTCAGTGTCAATCCAAATTATACCACTTGTGAAATATGCACCTCTTTATAAAACCTGCATCTAACAATCTGTCTCAACAGATGTTGCAAGAACAAAGAGGGCTCTAATAGTGATGAGGGGATTAAAATATGCCCGCTGTCTCTTCCAGTAAAGATGCACATTAACAATGTTGACGTCTTCTGGATACGATCAACTGTAGTACAGCATTTTGAAAAAGCAGACTATAGGTGAAACTTCTTCTGTTTAGGAGAACTGCTGTTTTTTGCAGGCTACCTTTAAGCTGGGGACTGTTAGTCCTGCCAGCCTTTCATACTCAGAACAGAATTTGTTACATGAGAATGTTTCATTGGTTTTGCTGCAACTATTAGCAGCCATAAATACTGGTCCTGGTAAAAAAAAAAATAAAAAAGATTGCTGGATGGAGGAGAGGTGCTAACTGTTTATTTCTCAGATAATTTCAGTGCAGGCTACAAAATCCAACAATAACATACACAAAAACCCTCGCTCCTTCTCGCTCTGTTGCAATGGCAAAGCTCCATATTGGTGTCAAAGTAACTCCAAGAACATATTGCTAATAGCTAATCACCATAATTTGCGCTTACCATGGTGTAACTAGATACCTGCTTCGAAAATTTCAGTAATTTCTTCCATGTTGCTGAAATGAGCACATCTAACTTACAACTAGGTATGCCCTGTGTTGCGCTGCATGGTGAGTGCAACATAGCTCTGTACCTTAAACACTGAGTATCAGGCCTGCTGAGCCACTGCAATGACTGCTCTTATCTTATATAAAGAGTGTTTCAGTAAGTAGCAGTCTTGGGAGCAGTTTTTTTGTGGTTTTTTGTTTGTTTTTTAACTGAAAATGATTGTGTGAGCATGGGTCAGCTCCCTCCACAGACACTCTAGTTTATGTGCTGGGTCTGAATTGAGGCCTGATTTCTTTAATTTTATATAAACCAAATAACGCTTATTCCTATAAGTGGTCCATTACTGTGAGGAAATTATTAACCCAATAAAATTCTATATAGTGCATGTAAATAATTTAGTAGAATTCAACTATGAATAATTCTGTATGCTACAGATGAATAAGCTTTCTGCCTGCTTTAGTTTGTTATATTTGGCTTTTTCTCTCCTTATTTTATGTGTAATTACTCTCAGGAAACAGAATATTTATTTAATATTGTTCTTCTTCTGGGCAGAAGAATAAAAGATTTATTCATCAGGGAGAGAATGGAGAACCTCCTACGAGGCTGACACTGTGCAGGCGTGAAGAACTGAGTTAAATCTACCACTGAGTGATTAATTGGATTAATAATCAGAAGGTCAGGTGAAGGACTAGGTTCTTAGCTTGTGCAGGTCTTCCTAACTAGTCATGAGGTGGAACCATTTCTAATCAAACATCAGGGTCCCAGAACTCAAGGATAACAAAAGCATATCATGATACTACCAAGTTGGCCACAAAAGTGACCACAAAAACAGATGGTGGCCTCTGAGCTGCCCTAGTGCTTGCTAGAAGAATATTGACACAAAGGTGGTCTGGCCAGAGGGATTTCTGGGCAGGGAACTTTGGTACAGTGCCTTTTTCTGCTGCTAAGCCTCCTTTCCTGCCAAAGGCAACAGGGGTGCAGAGGAGATGGAAAGAGTACATCCCAGGGGGCTGGGGGTGCTGGCCTGAAACCCTGAGCAGCTCCATGTCAGTGGTTGAAGGCAATCAGGCAGTGGTAGGAGACTGCAGTTTGGAGAAGGGCAGGATGCTTCTTGCAGCTATGGAGGAAGGCAGATGGTGTGGAAGGATTTTGATGCAGCTGCTGATAGTAGGAAGCAAAGACGGGTGTTCAGGGAATTCAACTGTCTTGTTTTAAGTCCCTGAAGGTAATGGTTTTCATCCAAGGACGTTTTAGGAAATGCCAGGTGCTATCACAGCCAGCACTCTATTAGCAGCAGGAACAGGAACTTTCAGGTCAAAATTATGCTCTTGGGTTTCATGGCAGGCCTTCATCTTTCTGCTCTCTCCCTTCTGCTGAAAGAGCAGACTGCCTACCTATAGACATGGTATAGATATCATATGATGAGCATAATGATTAGCATAAAGACATACCAGGTGAGTTTCTGAGTAAATGTTTTGCTTCTGGATTGCAAGACTAAGTCTATTTCACTGACAATGTTTTGTCATCTTTAGACAATTTTATCTAGCTGACCCTTACACTTAAAAATAGGCCCATTTAAGGGAATCGTCTTTATCTCTAACATTTTTAAGCAAGTTAATAGCTTATAAGCGTGCTACAAAAAGTGCTCCTTCATCAGCCAAATCTGTCACAACTATTACAAATTCTAAGAAACAATGGAAAACTTACCCAGAGGAGAAAGATTTTTTTTTTTTTTTCATGAGGTGGAAGTCTTGTGTTTTCTCTTTCTTTTAACAGGTATTTTAGTTTTCTACTGCATGTCTAAGGTTATTGACTGCAGTTATATCTATAAGGGTCATCTTCCATGGCTGGAAGAGTCTCTTTGTGGGCTAGGCATCAGTTTTGATGTGCAAGCTCCTTGGAAAATTCAAATTCCTTCAAAATTCAGCAAAGGCAAGCCAGCCCTGTAGCTCTTTCTCTGAGAGGGCAGATAAGTAAGTTTTTGCACTTTACTTTGAGGAGGTGCTTAAAAACTTCAATCCCATCTGCCTGTTTACTTCAATTCATATTTTTAAGTATATATTAGATGAAATTCCTATATTTCATAAGACCTTTCCATATCTTCTGCTGCCCTTGGCCAGTGTACTTTCTCCCATGAGCTATTGTGCAGTGAGGTGCTGGATTGCTTTCTCCTGTATCTGTTTTTCTGTTTAACTTGGGTGTGTTTTTGAGTGAAAAATACCATTTAGGTATAAAATATCATTCGTTATTAACAGTGAAGCAAGGCAAGAGAATGGGCTGTCAGCTTTTATATAAAAGTGGCTGTCAAGCAGCCTTGGCAGTAGCATGAAACATAGTGAGTAAGGAAGTGAAAGCTGTTCCTGGAAAATCTGCGGAGTTCCAGTTTAATCAAAACAGCCATGGCATGCAAGTCAATTGCATAGGAGAAAAGAACAGTGGTGAAAATCAAAGCAGGTTGTAATGACATAAATCATCCTGAGGAAACACATAGGCACTTCACTGTTTAAATACCACCACAGATCTAACCAAGACAAATCTCACCTTTAAAGTCAATCATAAGTGATCACAGAAAGGAATTTGCCAACCTGATTCAGAATACACAGGCAGACTGACAATATAGTTTATTCCACTTCAGCATATATAAGCATGTACTCTGAGTAAGCTTGCTGGAAGAAATATCCCAAGTAAAACTGATGAGGCTGTAAAAGATGGCTTAAAGAGTTGTTAATTTACCTACAGAACAAAATAGCAAGAGAAGAGGAATAACTTTGATAAAACTATAGTTCATGTTATATTCACATCTAACATCAGACTCCCACTTGATTTAAAAAAAGTGGACCTGTCATAGGGGAATAGTGTATCTTCACAAGGCAGTCTAGAGCTTTATGACTTATGATGAAATACAGAATCAAATGTTTTCAATCAATAGATAAGAAGCAAATAAATCTACTGTTTTCAGTGGAAAGCTTCCATATTCAGTGGAGACTATCTAGATTATTATTTTTTTCCCAGAATGATTACATGAAAAGACTGATTGACAAAATGGAACAATATAGGTAAGACTGGTCACACTGTGACTAAAACCGAAGTCATTGCTTCCAGGAATAAATCTTAGGCTGAGCTTTCAGTATGAATGTGTTCCTGACTTTTAACATAGCTGGCTCTCAAAGTGGTGAGTCTGCAACAAAGGAAGTGGGAAGAGATGCTGAGCTTTTCTTGGGAGCTAACTTTGGCATAGATCAGGTTTTCTAATGTAAGCCCAAAGTAGCTTCACTAAAATTGCAAGTATAAACTTCAACTAGAAGCTGTTTCAATCAAACTCATATTCTAACACATTTTCTTATCCATGAAGACTGACACACTAGTGAAGGCTTCAATGCCAAAGAGAACCAGGTACTGAAGAAGAAAATTATGTTCCCATTAGACTCAAATATTCTGAATGCATTAATGTGTTATTTTTCCCAAAGATAATTTCGCTTTACTGAATTTTTCTGTCATTTAAAAATAACCAGTTAGAGGCTCTGGTCTGATTTTTCTCTCACTGTTTTTTAAAGAACTGTAAAGTGCTGGTTTTATTTGCGAACTTTATAATCTGAATCTGAACTCATTCAGGGTAACTTTTTACTAAAACAGTATACATTGTATACAGTATTCCTAGAGGAGAAAATATCTGTATCTTTTGAAACTACTACTGTAATCTTCCAAGCTACAAGAATTAAATGTATATAACCACAGTTCAACTTCAAAATGCAAATCATGTCCACGAACAAGGAATGTATTTTAACAGCGGTCCACAAGGAGATTTATGTGGAAGCTGCCTTTGCCACAGATACCCAGAGCTCATATTACCAAAAATACATGAAGGATTTGCTAAACTCTGGTACTTTCACAATGTTTTAAATCAGATAAGTCTGGGACCATTTCTCAAGCAAGAAGCCAAACATAAGAAAAATAAACACGAAGGCACATGCTAAATACTCTTGTTTATAGCTGTGTTTAAATAGTCTTGAAATGGTTGACTGTCTTCCACAGCACTGTACCTGTCCAAGTACCACAAAGCATCAAGCTTTTATTTCCTTAGAGAAGCACAACATTGAATTTTGGCCTCTAAAAATAATAACTGTTCTTTCAGTAGCACTTAAGAAGAGATTTAACCTGTTCTTGTTACCTGAGGTATCCAAATACAACCAACCACAACAGCCTCTCTGCCTGCAAAACCAATAATGTTCTCTCTGGGCTGCTTTTAACCCTCAAGTTTCCTAAATGCATAAATCTGTTGTCCTGCTGGGTATTCACAAGATCCTCAGCCCATAAGCATCAGCAAGATTTTCACATTAGCTATTCATTCGTCTCAGATGGCAGGACAGATCTGGTAGACAATCTCCAAACCTTTTGTTGAATCACAAAATGAAATTTAACAAGGGAAAAATTATAGTGGCCTTCTCTAAGAACTAGATTACGATCTCTAAAGACTTGTCTACAGTCTGAGTGCTTTAGGTTCAACTCCCTTAGTTTTGGAAAACTTCCTCCAAAGATTTTGCTACAAGTTTTCTTGTCGCTTCTGTTTCTAAACTGACCCTTCTAGTAAGGCATTAAGTAGTCTTATAATACTGAATATGACTTTATGAGATACTTTAATCAATAAGCTTCTTGGTATTTGTTCAGTGTGGGTTTTTTTTTTTGTCAAGTAATCCATTGTAACTGTATATTAAGGATGCATTACAGTATGCTTAAACTAATGAAGATAGCTATGACTTATTAACTGTTAACCTAAGTATTCCAAATTCCAAAGCTGCAATTTGATGTTACTCTACATCTCTGTCAGTGAAAATTACAGTTGAATTGCATCTACTGTTGATATTCTATTTCCAAGTTTAGACTGAAAGCAATCTGGAATCTTACATGGATTGAGTTATTAACTTGCATTTATTTACTTCATTCATTTTGGGTTTCACATTTCATGTCTACTATAGGTGAATAAGAACAACAAGATACTTTAGGTTCTGTTCTTATAATTGTCAGTGATCTGATGGCTGCTATCAATAATGTCTACCATTTCTGACTTCAGTCTTGCATAACAAGATATCCTGCGTATCCATTAGTACCATAAACAGCGTTTTCTCTTCCCAGTTTTCTTAGCTTTGGTCATTTTGTAGTTCATTGTACTGAATTTTGCATCAGTCACAAATATTCATGAGGCATAATGAGCTCAAATATGTTTTGCTAGAGCTTTCCTTTAGGAACTGGTATGTCCTTGAAACATTGCTCTTCTGTGCCAGTCTGAACACTGACAGAATTTTAGAATTTCCTGACCTTTTTTTTTTTTCCTAAGTCTGTGTGGTGCTCTGCAGAATAGTTTATTTTAAAAGCCTTTTCAGCTGCTTATGGCTTGTTTTAGCCCAAACACAACTGCCTACCTATATGGCATCTTTTTCAGGAGGGTAGCCTCCAATATACTAATGATGGTATAATTGAATTGCATTTCCTTGTGATTAAAATGTCTGACTTACAGCAACTCTTTTTGTATCTCAGCGGGGTGATCACCAATGCAGGAGGAGCTGTAAGGGTACAGACTCTCCCAGGACAGGAGAACTACCCTGCTGTAAATGCCAACGGGATCCAGTCTCAGGTGCTCACTAGATGGGCTTCGTCTTTCTCCGTGACTCGTAAGTGGATCACGCTTATTATTTTGCAAACGATATTTGACATATTAACAGAACTGCAGGAAACTTCTTCAATGTTCCTGAAAGCATAAACAGATGTGATTGCTATCTGCAGTGTCATAACAAAAGTTTTCACTTTTAATTCATTATTTTAGCTTCATTTTTCCACAATTTCTTTAAAACATTGCTCCAGCTAGACTAGCTAGTCTGTAGCAGAAGCTGATACATAAAAACAGATTGCTATTATTTAGAATATAACGACCTGATAGTAGGCAGTTGACAGTGCGGTTCCACAACAGTTTGAGCTGATCAAAGCCAGTGCTTCAATCCTGCTATTGCAGTTCTGTCCTCCAACCCCTTCCAGCTGTATAGTTTTATGCCCCTGCCTGCCTTTGTCCAAGCAGTAGCACTTGTTGGGCCCTTCAAAGAGCTTGTGCAGCGTTCCCTGCAAATGGAACACTGACCTTCCAAGAACAGGAAGTGTCAGCTTAGGTGTGATGTGGTCATTAAGCTACAGTGTGACATAGTGGGTTTTTTAGAAGTTTTCTTCTACGTAGTTGAGATACTGTGCCTGATTGCAAACCAGTTATCACGCCCTGCAACTTGGGTGAGGCCAAACCACCCTCATAAAATTGTTTAAAGAAGCTTACTGGTTATATATGTTGTGGTTTAAAGTGTATGTGTTTTCTGGTATATTCTTTCAAAGTTTGAGAAACAACTCTCTAATGTATACTTATGGTTTACGTAGCTAAAATTCAGCCTACTATCTCTAAGATACTAGTAATCCTTGTGTAGTGTCCAATACAAATTCACAGCTAAGGAATTGGAATTACAGGTGCTTTTGGTGAGTGTAAGTAAAATCCACTTCTCCCGATCAAGTCCTGAATTTATCTGCTAGGAACAATGGCTACTACAGCTCAAAACCTCTCATCAATTAGATATGCTGTAATTATTCATCAGCTGCTATTGTTTCAAACGCAGAAGCTCAGAGAAGCTCATTAGCTGTTAAACAAGGAATGTAATACTGGATACACCAAAGATCTGTCCAGGCCTGTGTCCTACTCCCAGAGCAGCTAATGGCAGATGATGAAGATTATTGGAAATATAGTATTCATCAAGTACTTGTTATTTCATCTAAATACACTAAAATACAGTAATTTTATTCTTCCAATATTTTAACAGGTACTAAGAACACGGCTCTTGAAGCGGTTGGACGATCGGTATCAACAGCACGTCCTTCTACAGGTATGAGATCTCTGCAACAAGGGAATTCTCCTGTGACAAGATGTGCTGCAGTGCATGAATCCCTGGCTAAAATGACATGTTTCGTATGATTCCTTTATTTTAAAAGAAGAAAACAGCTACAATTTCTGTTTTTTGCAGTATATTTTTCATCAGGAAAAAGAGAAATCATTTGTAATTGGGGAGATTGATTCTTGTTTCAGTAGTGTTCATGTAAATTAAAAAAAAAAACTTGAATGAATTTGGAAAAGTAATATAGATAACATAGAGGAAGGAAAGTTCATGAGCTCATGAGATATTCATTTCTATTAAGTGACAGAGAAGACAGAGATAATGTATTCCTTCTTACAGAACTACTCAACAGCTGAGTGCTGTCAGGACTTGCGTGGCAGAAATTTAGATGTTATGTGAGTTTCTCCACAGAAAATGCTGCATTAAAAAGCTAGATCGGTTTTATGAAGGTTAGTGGTATATAAATACTGGTCTTGGATGTTATTTGTGAATAGACCATTTGCTTTACAGCTTAAGCCATGATTTGCTTCCAAACCTTTAAAACTGTGCACTGAACAGCAGGATTGTGAACTGAGAAACAGTAGCACTCGGGACGGTGAGCTACAGCAGTCCACCCAGCTTTCTAAGTTTCAGTGTTCAGCTAGGCAGGTGTAGAAAGGAAGGTTAAACTGCTTAATTTGGAAAAGAATGTTCTCCAAGGAGTAAAGCAGTAGTAGTGCAAGTTTAATAATTAAACTAATTGGCAGTTCCCACTGCAGATAGATTGCAGTGTAATTCTTGGAGTCTGAGCTTTTTCTGTTTAATTTTTGGCCATTCGCCGTCTTGTTCTTAAATGATCCATGCTGTCTTCTTCACTGAAGGTAAAAGACCTAAGAAGCCGCTTGATAAAAAGGCTGGAAACAAAGGTAAGAGCCCACAGATTTAACTTTTGCAAAGCAAAATCCGAACATTTGTTTAGTGTTAAGTCTCATTATTCTGGATGTTCACAGACTGTAAAGCTGATATTGCATTTCTCATTGATGGAAGTTACAACATCGGCCAACGTAGATTTAATTTGCAGAAAAACTTCGTTGGAAAAGTAGCTGTGATGTTGGGAATTGGAACAGAAGGGCCTCACGTTGGAGTTGTACAGGCCAGGTAAGAAGAGATCTATACAAAATATAGCTGAGTGATTAATAAGAGAAATCAATTAATATATCACTCCCTATTTCACAGAACAGTATTCACTCAATAATGGGTGATGAACAGCAAAAGAAAGCCAACTTTTTCCAGCTGTAGCACTGTTTGCTCTGTGCTGCACTGAGATGTCCATGAGAGGACATGACAAATTTGATCATTTTCTGCCTCTGATACTTGATACTTGTATAGAGAGAGCAGCTGGACTTTTCGCAGCCCTTCTGCTGCTGGCAGTTTCACAGCTCGTCTTAGTAAAACAGCAGAAAGGACCCTGCAAAGGAAAGATGGCTCTTTTTAAAAACTGTAGAGAGATGATTGTAACAAATGGCTATGTGCACGTACAAAACAAAAAACTGCTCTTGCCAACTTGCAGGTTACTACAGCTAATATTTTCAAATGGTAAATAGTCACTTTTTTATTTTAAGGCTATTCAGAGAATCTTTGAGGTTGGAACCGACCCTTAAGATCATTGAGTCCAATCTTTCATATTACTATTTATGTTTGCAGACTGCAAAACAATCTAAAAGCCACTGCAACATCCAACACATTGGTCTAAGTTTTTTTTGGAGCCACAGCTTTGTTTGCTAGTGCTCAGCAATAGTAGTTTTCCAAGGCTTAACCACTTTGTTCATGGCTTCTGGAATAAAGGAAGCACAAAGAAACCTTTAACTCACTTATTCCAAGACGATGAAACGTCTGCTGGATTAACACAGGGCTTCTCTATCGCATCTTTCATCATTAAAGTCTGTTCCTCTCCCTGCCTTTAGACAACTGTAGAGTAGTTGTCTGAATCTGAATTAACCACCTAGGCTTGCTTTTACAGTCACTAGGAAGAAGGACCACATTCATGGCACAAACCATCTGAACTGCACAGGATGCCTCTTTTAGGATGTGGTTAATTCCATCCTGAAAAATCCAGTTTCTGTCCACCTTAGACATCAAAAGCCAGGGGAAATGAACCCCACTCTTGCTGTCCTGGGCTTAAATACTATAAGATGAGGAACAATTCGTGGAGAAACTGTGTAATCAATTTAGCATCTTGAACATTCAACTCCTCTTCATTAGAAATTAACCTTACAAGCCATGATCTTTGTCTCAAAATGTACCATTTTAAAACTTATTCTGCAATGAAATTCAGCACTGCAGACCAACTCTGCTTAGCATAGGGGTTCATTCGAGTGATTCTGATGCATTTATTCATAGCAGCAGCTCTTTGAGCTGCAGGTGTTTATTTTTCTACTCTTTGCATAGCAAAAATAATTTATTTTTGTCTTCTGCTGTAAATCAAAAGTGAAATCTGGAAATTTAGTAGCTAAAACCTTTCATTTCTTGAACAGAGTACGTAGCTAGCATACCTTAAAACTTCTCAAATTAAATAACTCAAACTGCATTTTACAGGAATTTTTTATAAAGAAGATATTTGTAATACACATAGTAGGAAACTCACCAATTTTCAATTACATAAATGCATTTAGTTTAACATCAACTGTTTTTCTGGATATATTTTCAACCTAATGTTTTCAGCTACCTGATAAGCCTAAGAATCAGTCTGTTCTTAATTTACCCACCCAGCTAAATAACTCCTTTTGCTAAGGATTGTGGGAATTATTAAGTGAGTAGCATTCTTCTATTTTAGTAATCAAAAAAATAGAGAAGAAAATATATTACCATAACCAAAATGATTCAAAGTGTATTTTAGCTTGCTAATGCCATAGCAGTATGAAAAGTGAACTACATACTTTATTACTCTGTTTTATTTTTTCCACAGTGAGCATCCAAAAATTGAATTCTATCTGAAAAACTTCACTGCTGCAAAAGAGGTTTTGTTTGCCATAAAGGAATTAGGGTTCAGAGGAGGCAATTCTAATACAGGTGAGCTCACACTTCTGTGCAAATAGAAATGACTTCTTTACATATTTTTGTATATTTATGTATTTTAATATATTTTAATATATACTGAAGTTCTTATAATTCAGTTAGGTAAGAAAGTGTTCTAAATGCCATACTTGTCTTAGTCAGGTTCAACATTTTCCACTAGAACATTGCCACATCTTACACTTCGTTTCCAAAAGTTAGGGTTGCTTATTACACATTTAATTAGAGTAGAAGTGCAAATATCACTTCCTATGCTTAAACAGTAATCATCTTTTCATTAGTAATAGAGTGACATCTTGAGACAAATTAAGATCTAAAAGGCTTAGTGTTTCTTTCTTGTTGGGTGGCTAATTAAAGAGTTGAAATAAACTTGGAGTAAGTAGTAAGTGGTTGTGAAGAGATGTTCGTCAAATGAGGAAACTGATCGTTTGAAATACGTTGCATTTCGCAAGCTAAATTTAGGTAGCTCCTCAACTTTCTTCCTCCCGATCCATTTGGCAGGCATTAATATGTCTACTTCCTAATACAAAATTAGGCATGTGGGTGAAAAAATGTCAGCTTTGTCTGTGGAATTTTTTTTTTTGTGGGAGTGGTTTTGGGTTTTTTTTGAGGTTTTTTTTTTTTGGTTTTGAACTTACAGGTTGCTCAGGCTTCATTATTATCAAATTTCCTGGGACACTGTTTCGCTTTTAGAATAGAATACATGAGATTATTTCAGTTGAAAGGGACCTACAATGATCATCTAGTCCAACTGCCTGACCAATTCAGGGCTGACCAAGTTAAAGTATGTTATTAAGGGCATTGTCCAAATGCCTCTTAAACACTGACAGGCTTGGATCATCGACTGCCTTTCTAGGAAGTCTGTTCCAGTGTTTCACTGGGTAAGACCTGTATCCAAAATCCAGCAGAACTTCATGCAGAAAACTGGTACCAAAATGTAATCACATTATATCTTCATATTCTTTTTCTGTTCAAAACTAGGGAAAGCGTTGAAGCACACAGCTCAGAAATTCTTCTCTTTGGAAAATGGAGCACGCAAAGGAATTCCCAAGATCATAGTAGTGTTCCTAGATGGCTGGCCCTCGGATGATATAGAAGAAGCCGGCATAGTGGCCAGAGAATTTGGTGTCAATGTATTCGTTGTATCTGTAGCAAAACCCACAACAGAAGAGCTGGGAATGGTACAGGATATTGGTTTTGTTGACAAAGTAAGAGAATGTAATTGTTTGGTTTTCAGTAATGCATGTGTGATTCTAGAGAATTTACTTAATGATAAAATCCTAATGAGCTAATTTTCAATATTTGTGTCTCCCTCCAAAAAGCCAATGAAATTATCTCTGCAAATAAGTGATTTAAAAGAATGGCCCTAGGAAACCTAAAGAAACACTGGCGTTTTTTTCCTGCTAAAGGGGCTACATGAAGGACACCAAAGTGCTATCACCATCCTCCCAGTTCAGAGTCTTGGCCAAGTTGTAGTTTCTGTACTTCATAATTACATGAAGATCCTGAGAGTAGGAGAATCCCCTATCCTAGGTGTGGTAAAACGTGTCATAGGCATTGAACAACAGCTATGGTATCTCCTAGCCTGAAATGGCAGACAGGGAGGCATATCTTTCAGTACCTGCTCTATAGATGTTTATTTACTTAGTTTCACTACAAACAGGACAGGAAAGATTGAAAAAAAACATATCCTATCAAGTTCACATGCAAGACATTCATCTTGGATGAAAAGTTTTGGATCTTGCTCTGGATGAGTTAGAGTAGGAATTTGAACAGAGATCTTCTATGCACGTGAGCTTTTCTAATCAGTAGATCTTTACTCTCCAGTAAGAAAACCTGTCATTTTTCACAGGAAGGTTTTAGATGTCTAATTTCAGCAGAAAATTCACAGCTCAGAGCATGAACAGAATGAAGCCCTACAGCTCTGCTACTTCCAGGCACAAGATAGCTTACTGCCCACCCATGTTATTGCAGGCAGGTCCAACTCTTGTATACTCATAGGCACATAAAAGCATGACCTTAGGTGACTGGGACCTGCCCTCCACTTCTGCATTTTGATCTTAGTCAGATTAGAGAACCTTGGAGAACTGATTTTAAGTTTAACCCCTTTCTCAATCAGCTTGCACTTTGCATGCATCCTATAGAAGCCAGGGGAAAAGAAATTTTACTTTGAATTACCTGAGGCTATGTTTCTACCAAACTGTATATTTTTCTAATTTATGAGGTCTCATAAACAAAGTGCTTACCGAGTTCAATGGGAACACGAATAAGCCTAATATTCAGTGGATAAGCAAAATCATAGAACTCTTGATCCTTTGTATATTCAGTAGCCGTGATTTAGTTCACTTTTAAAAAAGATAATTAGAACTTGCAGTTGTTACAATTCTTATGAATGAAGTGAAATTATTTGAAGTTTCCGGGGGGGGGGGGGGGGGCGGGGGGGGGTTGGCGATTTCT